TGTATTCGGTATTGATTTTGTAATGTATTTTGATCCTGATATTTATCATAAGCCTCCTTTTTCTGTTTCATTTTAATCCCAATTTCCTTAGTCATAATAATAATAATCCATGCATTTGATATAGCGCTTTTCACATTTTCTAGACGTCCCAAAGCGCTTCACAGAATATACTGTAAAGTGAATTGACTGTATATTTGTGGGCGAACGCGGCAGCCAATTGCGCATAGCAGTGTCCCACAAACAGCTGTAGTTTGAAAATGGCCAATTTATTATTGTTTTTGGTTTTGGAGGGATTATTATTAGGTGTGTGGAGTAAGGAAACTTGCCCAAGGTTTCGCCCTGACCTGCCTGGAATTGAACTCAGGTCTCTCGCTTGCAAAGCGAGTGCTCTAACCACTGAGCTACAGGACTCCACGGGAGTCATCCAGGGAGCTCTATCTTTGGCTGCCCTACTTTTTCCGCTCATGGGTATGTGTTTGGTCTGTACCCTAACTATTTCCTCTTGAAGGCCTCCCATTGCTCGTTTACCTTTTTACCCATCAATCAGTTGATATATATGATTTTAAATAGCATTGAGAAAGTAAATCCAGAACAATACTTTCACCGAGACAGGAGAAGAGGAAACAGACAGGTTCAAATCTCTAACGCTGTCTCACATCTGATTCTCTCTCACTTCTGAGTCACTAACTCTCTGTGTCTGCCTCTTATGACAGATAAAGGAGCCTGTTATTTCCAGGCGAGCCCTGATTGATATTGATACCCGATACATGCAGATTCTTAAACTGGAGAGCGATATCCGCGAGCTGCACAACCTGATCCAGAGCTTGCCTCGGCTGGTGGAGAATCAGGTACAAGGTAGAAGCCCAGCCTCAGCCGCCTGCCCTAATACAGGTTTCAAACCAACCCAGGCTCAGACAGCAATAGTTCCTTCTTCCAACAGACTGAGAAACTGAGTGCTGCCTGCCCTCTTCCTCCAACCTACTCCTGTGCCTTCTTTCATTACTGGTGTCAAAGAATGATTTTACAATAACCAAACAGAGCTGAGAGGCAGCATTGACAAAGACAGCACTGAAGACAGCACAAAGAGGGACAACACTCTGATAACATAGAGAGACATTGAGACAACACTGAGAGACACAGCATTGAAGAGAGCAAGCCATTCAGCCATCCTGTCAATGCCATTGTCACCTGTTGTTCTAAATCAACCTTATATTAACCTCATTTTCCAGCTCTGCCCATATCCATTAATGTTTTACTGCCCAGGAGCTGACTATATTTTAGCCAGGGCTTGGTATCTGCCTTGATATGGATGCAGAGACGTCAACAGCTGCTGCTAAAGCTCTACACTTCCAACTGATGTAATTATCACTCAACGGGTGGGCATGTGTGTCCCAGCTGTGGACACGCACAAAGAGAGCAACAATGCTTTCACACTTTGTGTGAGTAGTGCTGCTCATAAGGAGATTCACAGGGCCTTCCTGGTACTTGGTATCAACCTAGCGAGGCCTCAAACCTTGTTGGATATCTAATGAAAACCAGTGACTATCCTCTTTGGGGTGTAGATAAGTAGGATATCATTGGGGAGTGAACTCCAAGGTGACATGCCTGGCAATGGAATATCAGAATTAGTGTTAGCGTGCCTGTTCTACTGTTCCAGCGTCAATACGAAGCTTGTGTTTTGCTTACTGTAAATATTTCACCTGTTGCAGGGAAAGACAGTGAACCACATTGACCGGAATGCAGACAAGGCGGCAGGCTCCATTGGACAGGCTAAGAATGAGACAAAGAAAGCAACAAACCTTCAGAGTAATAGCCGGCAGGTGAGACACGGGGCTGTGGTTACTAACCCTGGTTCTATTCTCCAATGGAGGTGGCTCACATTTTACCAGTACTGACATTCCAGTGCATTGCTGTAGGAGAGCTGCATTGTCACAAATACCATCCTTTGAATGAGATGTTAAACCAAGATCCCATCGGCCAGTTGACATGGGCGTTAAAGATTCCACTGCACAATTCAAAAAGTTTTTCCTAGTTTGCTGGTCAACAATTCCGTAGATTTTTTTTGCCATTCACTTCAAGGGTGTCTGTCAGCGATTGCTCTGTGCAAATTAGCAGTCACCTTAATCACCAAATGCAATCACTATGTTTACAGCATTTCCCAGTCAAGTAATTCGAGACAATTTGATGTTTATATACTATATTGAATGCAAGAATTATTGTTATAAATAGCAAATTTATCAACATGTATGTTCCATAATTCTTCTACACAGAAGAGTGCTCTGGAATGTGTCCCTGCGTGAAGAGCACTATATAAATGCAAGTTGTTGTTGGTGGTATGCTTACACTGCACTGGCCATTTCTTGGTACCATAGCGTATGTGGAGCATACTGTATTATATTTCTTTTTTAGCCGTCGCTTCGCAAACAAGAGGATCCTGGTTCAATTCCCGGGCAGGACGAAACCTTAAGCAAATTTCCTTACTCCACAAACCTGTTTACCGAGCAGTGTGTAGGAACCCAGTTGTTAGTCGATTTGGTGGATCAATTTCTGAGGATAATAATCCCTTCAAAATAAATAATTTATCACTAAATCCATGACTATTTTTGGGACTGCTGTGTGCAACTGGCTGAGTTTAAGTGCTCTGAGACGCTACCCTGCGTGGAGGGCGCTACACAAGTGCAAGTGGTTGTTGGCTGCTGCATTTCACCCCCAAAATAGTCAATTCACCGTTCTGCCATCCCCCACATCGCCTGGCTCTGCCACTGTCTCTCCCCTAAGGCCGCCAAGACACTCATTCATGCATTCATTACATCCAGGCTTGACTACACCAACTCCCTGCTTATCGGCCTCGACAACTCTTCCCTACACATTTAGAACTCTGCAGCTCATGTCCTTTCCCGCAGCAGGTTCCACTAGCAACCCATGTCCCAGAATATAGACTTCAAAATTCTCGTCATCGCCTCAAAGCCCTCCACGGCTTTGCTCCTTCCTACCTCTGTGACCTGCTGACTCCATATCGACCTGTCAGCTACATCCGCTCAGCAGGTTCTGGCCTACTCCATGTCCCTTGCCAGTCAGCCTCTCAGCTGCCACCCTCTGGATTTCTAATCCCCAGTCCCTTTGCCTCGCTCCCTCCCTCACCTCTTTCAAGACACGTCTCAAGACCCTCCTCTTCAACCGTGCCTTCAGTCACCCTCATACCCATACCCTACACACCTCCTGATCCCAACCTCTGCTCGGGTCCAAATCACTGACTATCTAGTGCCTTAGGATATCTTCCCGACATGAATGGCGCTGTACAAATATAATTTGGCTTTGTTGTTTACAGTATATTCTGAAGCACTTTGACACGTCTCAACTACGTGATAAGGCATTATACCAAATTCAATATTATTATTATTATTTCTTGCTTCCTACAGAAATGTCTGCTGAACATGGCGTTTGTTCTTATGGTGCTGCTGATTCTCATCATCATTCTGATCATCTCTTTCAAGTAACAAACCTTGGCTTGAGTGTACGGCCAGCCCGTACAGGGACACTGTCCCAACCGGGCTCAGCCCCGCTCTGTCCAACCCAACCCAGTCAGGCTGCTACATCCACTGCTGTGTTCCTGGGCTGCGAGTTCAAGGGTAACCCAATTCCGGCTGCATCTGGAATACACTTGAATGAGTGCAATTTGATTTACCAGCTCTGTATAACCACATCTAATTGAAACAAATGGGGTTATGCACAGAATATTAAAATGCATTTGGTTGAGTTCCTCTCCTTCCAAAGCCTGCTAAAACTCTTACTCTCAACTGCTTTCATTCGCTGTCCTCTTACACAAGCTGAGAAATGTGAGAAATGTAGGCAAATGTCAGATAGGGTCTGTACCCCTTATCTGGAACATAAGAACAAGAGGCCATTCAGCCCTTCGAGCCTGTTCTGCCATTTAATTAGATCATGGCTGAAGTGTACCTCAACTAATCCTTTCAATTTCAATTTCCCACTTTCTCCCCATATCCCTTAATACCTATAGTGGAGTTGTTATTGCTTTCAGAATATTAGTCTGCAGTTGCTGAACAACAGTCTGCGAAGGTCTTATAGGCAATAACTTGGTCAAGGAACATCAACTGAGAGATGATACTGTAATAATAATCCTTGAATTTGATAGAGCCTTATGTAGTCAGGGGTCTCAAAGCACTACTGTAAAGTGGATTGACTGTATTTAGTGGGATAAAAGGGAGTAATCCATCTATTCATAACCAGAGAATTACATACAGAATATACAGCACAGAAACAGGCCATTCAATCCACTAATCTGTGCAATGTTTACTTTGCATGAGCCTCCAAACCTGACTCCCTTCTCCCACTTTCACCTTCATGCCCATGGTAACGAGTGCATTATTGCTTTGTCACCAGGTCAGTTACAATTCATACACTGAAGATACAAACTGTGCTGAGTTACATAATGAACTCTCAATAGCTCGGTTTGCAGCCTCTTAGATGCTGTACATGGCGATATTTTAATCTCTCGCACCATTTGTCAGTCACCTTATCAGTGTGTGTGAAACGTGCTGCAAGATCTGCTAGTCTGCAACAACAGCAAATTACATTTATATAGCGCCATTCTCTTGGGAGAAAGTCCCAAGGCGCTGGACAGTCAGGGATTTGGACCCATGTTGGGGGTTGGGATCAGGAGGGCTGGAGGGCAACAGAAACTATTATTGTTATCCTGTGTACCAGAAAGCACTGGGTCTAATTTCTCCAGCTCAGTGCAATGGGTTAACGTGCTTATGCCTTTTGTGCCTTGGACATGCTGTTGATTGGCTTCATGCTGCATTTTCAAAGTGACCCATGGAGCAAACAGTGAATGAGAAATTGGTGGCATTAGCTGCAGTGATGCATTGCATTATAATTGTGTTTATACACATTTTAATACACTGTATGTGTTTACCCATGTTTGTTTGCTATCTTGTGTTCACGTCTGTTTTGGAATTTAATGATAAAGGAGTCAAAGGTGAAGATTCTGGAAATCTGTATTTTCTTTTCCAAGCTCCAAAATTTCAGCTACAGCAACAGCTGCAGAAATCAGCCTTTGTTATCAATGTGTGGAGCAATCAACACTTCAATCCCGAGAACATGGGACAGCACCGCTTCCGATGCTAAACAGTTAAAAGCAGTGAAACCACCTGACCCACCCCCGCACACGCGCGCACACACATACACAGTGAGGTTACACTGCCCACCCCCCCTCCCCACACACACACACACGCACACACACACATACACAGTGAGGCTACACTGTGCACACACACACCACGCACGCACACACACACTGGTTACACTGTTTGAGGCCTTACTGTTTTTTGGTACACACTGAGTCTAGTGCGCTTTGAGCATTGCTTATCTGTTGCTGCAGTCTCTCCCGCATGGCTTCGCTTGTTGGTTTCTTGAGCATGGCCTCCATCTCTGTGATGACCGCACGATAGCCGACCACATTGTGAAAGACACGAATTGCTCGGTCTCCGCTCGACACTAAAAATCTACTGTTTACATCAAAGGCCAAGTCCGCAATTTCCTCTCCGTGCACATTTAAAAACTCCTCCTCCTTCTCACCAGTCTTGGCGTTATAAACACTGATGCTGAAACCACTGGAGATAGCCACAACCCTTGCATCGGGCGACAGGGCAATGTGACACGGATCCGCTACATCACACTTTATGGTCAGTAGCAGATATGGATCCTGCTGCTTCTTGTACTCCACATCCGTGTCCCACAGTTTCCACGTCCCATCTTTGGAAACTGTTGCCATCCTGAGAGGAATGATAGATCGTAAAAGATCAGCTCGAGGCCGTGCAAAATGTGTTTAAGAAAAACACGCAATAGTCCAAAGTCTGGGACTATTCAAGGAATTGCTGGTGAGACTATTAGGCAAATTTATTATGGGCATATTGAAACGGATTACTCCATCTGATAGTCCTGTAGCGTATTGCTTAAAGCAATCACCTCGCAAGCAAGAGGACCCGGGTTCGATTTCTGGGTTTGGCAAAACATTAGGCAAGTTTCCTTACTTCCCAGGCATCTGTTTAATTAACTGTAAGTACCTGGTTGTTAGTCGATTTACAGATCGCTTTCTTGTGGGTAATAATCCCTTCAAAATAAATAGTAAATAATAATAATTTGGTCACTGAATCAGTACTGCTTAGCTGCGGTATTTCGCTCACAAAATTTCACTTTATAACATATTCTTTCAAGACATTGACAATTATTATAATTGTACGAACAGTTGTTGTACTGTAGTATATGATGTAATCATGTTATTGACCAGAGCTCACCTTCTGGAATCATTGGAGAAAGCAAATGAATAAACGCCAGCAGAATGCCCCTTTAGGTCGAAAGCCCTGAGTACTTCCTGGAACTCACCCGATTTGGTGAAACATACTTCCCAAACCTTCACGTCTGGTGTGAAACCGCAAGAGGCTACAAACCTGCAGCACAATAAACAATCAAGTGTGAAACAAAAACAGAAGTCTCTCGGAACACTCAGCAGGTCAGGCAGCATCTACAGAGAAAGGAAAGTGAGTCAAAGTTTCAGGTCCACAACCCTTTGTCAGAACAATGAAGCATAACTGCGGTCATAGTTGAGGTGCACAATCAGTAACTAAGACTCACCTTCCACAGGGAGACACAGTGGCAAATGCATTGTTCATCTGATTAGTGTTAATTGTGGCCATCACCTCTCCCTTCAGATCCCAGATCAGGATGGTTGTGTCACTAGCTGCAGACATAATGAACTTTCCTACAATTAAAATCAAGACACAACAGTCATTATTATCCTGTCTGACTGTAGGAAAAGAGGCTTGTGCCATTGGTGCTGGATCCTTGTCCTTTTACACAACAGGCATGACTGGCATTCATACCATTGTATCAGGAATGGCACCACCTGGTGGCACATATGCACACTGCAGGAAATATCTGCAAGCACATCCCCCAATGCAGACAGTAATAAATCACAATGGACCATTTCGCGGCAAAAGTGGTTACAGTACTGTCCAGATTTAGGAGCTCGGGAGCTAGGTAAATACTGGCCAGATTCATCACAGAGCGCTTAGCTTTCCCCATTGTTGTAAGAATTCCTACCAGGGCAAAACGTTAGGCAAATTTCCTTACTCCACACGCCTGTTTACCTCGCAGTAAGTAGGAACCCGGTTGTTACGATTGGCGGATCGATTTTTTCTGGGTTTATAATTCCTTCAAAAAAATAATAAATTTGTCAGTCAATCCACAACTGTTTGTGGGATGCTGCTGTGTCCAATTAGCTGCCAAGTTTTGCCCATAAAATACAGTCAATTCACTTTACAGTATATTCTGTAAAACGCTTTTGAGACGTCTCGAAGATGTGATGAGGCGCAGTATCAAATGCAAATATTATTATTATTATTCAAATCTTACAGCAGTGAAGGAGTCGATTTGGCCCATTGTACCTTTGCTGGCTCTTTGAAAGAGCTATCGATTAATCCCACTCCCTCCCAGTTTCATCTCCCTCACCAGCCCCGTACTCGATCATTAGATGCTGCCCCTCACGCACCAGTCTCTGCAATGCTGATATTGATGACGGGAAAGCGGTGTTTCTTGGGGAAATCGTCCACAGAGGCACTGAATGTGAGCGAGCCATCGTCCTTCTTGGTCATTTTGAAAACCCGGACGGTTTCTTCATTTGCCAGCCAAGTGATGAAGGCTCTGCAGATGGGTAAGTGAGAGATGCCAACAAACCTTCAGAAAAGAAGCTTCTAGTGTAGTCCCAGACAGAGAGAATCAGAGCCCCTCACCTGTAGCACAGAACTCAGCTGGGAGTCACTAGTTCTTTACAGCTTCAGATTATAGGTGGCCCCCAAACCCTGCCTGCCCCTCGACATAGTGTCCACACCTCCAACCCGGACAGTGTCCACACCCACTCTCAACAGTGCTCTCGATCCCCCTACACCCCCCAACACAGCAATCCCAAGCCCCTAACAAAACAAGGCCCCACCCGCCCCATGTCTCACTATCGCAATTTCCAAAAGAGTGGGATCTCATCATTGGGTTGAGTCCAGGAGAAATTTATGCAGAAATGAATTTTTTGGCTTGGCGTCATGCTCCGCCACTTTCAAGCGCTCTGGGAGGTTACCTTGCATAAGGGACACTATACAAAAGCAAGGTGTTGTTGTTGTTGGGAGTGACTGGAGCACAGTTACCTGGAGTCGGGGCTGAAGCGCACGTGCGTGGCGTGGTCCAGCTCCACGTTGGCTCTCATGCAGCGATGCTCCCGCTCCAGGAAGTCTTTGGTGCTCCAGACACGCACTGTGCGGTCGTCAGAGCAGGACGCCAGGTACTTGCCATTGCTGCTGAAATCCAGGCAGCTTATATTCCCACTGTGACCCTTCAAAACATGACAGGAGGCAACATCAGCACCAGTCTCCGCGTCACCAACCTGGAGCCACTACCCACTTCGTACTGAGACCACTGCCCTCTGTACTGACAGACCATCCCCCTCTGTAGTGAGAGACCACCCCTCTATGCACCAAGCCACTCTCCCAGTTACTGTACTGATTTATCTTCATGATACACATTTGCTTCTTTATGATTTGCTGATTTGTAGGTAGATCCCACCCTTCCCACACATGGATATACATACTCTGCACTGAGTATCCTATCCCACACGTTACCTTGAGGGCGGCTGCCAGCACAGGGTGGCTGAACACGTGCTGCTGCAGCCTCTCTTTGCGGAAGCGTTGCATCTTCTGCTTCTTTGACGTGGTTTGCTTCTCTGCCACTCCATTCCCCACGATACTGCTCTCTGCGAAGGAAATAAGCCGTATAGTGAAATGCACAAACCTCCATACATCACAAGCTCCGCATACAACTGGGCCACCCGCTCCCTCCATATCCCGTAAATGTGCCATTTCTCATAGGGTATCCTATAAATAATAATCCTTGCATTTGATATAGCGCCTTCTCACATCTTTGGGACGTCTCAAAGGTGCTATACTGCTTTTATATAGTACTTCTCATGTCTGCAGGACATCCCAAGGCGCTGAAACTCTGACATAACCACTGAGGTAATAGTCGGAGGATCAAGTTGATTAATATATATGGATTTTTAGAAGGGATTTCATAAGGTACCATAGGAAAAAATGCTAATCATTGGCACATGGAAATTAAATCAATATTGTGACATGGTTAGGAAATTGGTTGCAAGGCAGGATGCAGAGTTGGGATAAATGGATCATTGATTGACAGCAGTGAAAAGTAATGTCTATTGGGGATTGATATTGAGACACAGTGCTTCATTCACCCTAAACCTAAAAATAATCCTTGCATTTGATACAGCGTCTTATTACATTGTCGAGATGTCTCAAAGCGCTTCACAGAATGTATGGTAAAGTGACTGTGTATTTCGTGGGCAAACACAGCAGCCCAGTTTGCGTACTGCGATGTCCCACAAACACCCATGGAGTGTGTGACTGACCAATTTTATCTGGAGGCTTGTTGGCCCGGATACCAGTAGGAAATATAAATAACCTGGTTAGAGATTACCTAAATTTTCCAATGTCATAAAGCTTGGGAGAGGTTATAAATGGTGAAGAGGGCAGCAGAGAATTGTAAAGAGGGCACAACAATTTGGATTTATATAGCTCCCTTCACACGGGGCAGCATCTCGGAGTCGGACGCTGAGCTGATGGCGGTGACCGAAAGCACGATCGATGAGATTCAGTTGTGATGTAAAGGAGGGGAAGGCGGGTGGATTGGGGAGTGTAGTGGCTGAGCACGGCTGCCAATGGTGGAGCGAAGGGGACAAGGAACAAACCGGAGGCCGGGGCGATGCTGAAGTGTCAGGTTTCAGACTTTGGCCTCAACAGTCAATGTGAATATTGGTGTAAATGAGGAAACTCACAGAAACACAGGCAGCCCCGTGGGTGGGGGAGAGACATAGGCAGCCCCGTGGGTGGGGGAGAGACATAGGCAGCCCCGTGGGTGGGGCAGACCCCCGCTGCTCACTCAGGGCCACCCCGCAGACAAGGCCTCTCCGGCTCGGTATTGCTTACCCTCATGGTCGACCCCGCTCCCCTCAGCCTCAGGCCGGGGCCCCGCCAGCGCCGCTGAGATGAGGAGAATGAGCGCCCCGAGCAGCAGCGACACAGCCACCAGCACCGCCACCGGCAACGACAGACCCGCCACCAGCGCCATGCCAGCACAGCGCCACGTCAGCACGTCCAGCGCCGCTCCAGCGCCGCGTCAGCGCCGCGTCAGCACGTCCAGCGCCGCGTCAGCACGTCCAGCGCCGCGTCAGCACGTCCAGCGCCGCGGCTGGATTGGGCGGGTTCACACCTGTTGGACTGTAATATATGATGTAATCAGGTTATTGGTGAGGATTATAATCATTATTAATAATACATCTGAAGACAGAATTAAAGTTCAGATACAATCCGAAATAGGATTCCCAAATACTTTACGAAATATAAAAGTCAGTGGAACAACCCATTTATATTTTTGGAAGGTCTTTGTTGAACGTGCAGATTATTCGTGATATGAATGATCAGTCAGTACCTGTAAGCCAAGGCCATGTACTGCAGCAGCTGGTCAGGCTGGCGTCGATGCTCAGGTGGCCGGTGCTCCGGGGCCCGAAGGGGTAATTGCGGCAAGTCTGCTTATTGACTATCAAAGTCACAGCCCGCGGCCCGGCCCGCACAGTCGGTGCAGAGACAAGACACCATAAAGTGGCCGCTGTGGATTACCTTGGGGCGGGACAGCGCCGAGCCGGACCCCGCCTTCCCCACCTCATCACCATTCCCCGGGACTCAGCGCGAGAAGCAGCGGCAATGCGCGCGCACCAGCAGCCCCGCGCGCAGCACTTCATTCAAACCTTCACCAACCGCTCCCGGGGATCGAGCGCCCGCCCCCCGGCCCCATTGTCCGTCTTCACCAGTGCCCCGCCCCCAGTACCGCTCCCCCCGGCCCCATTGGCCGCCTTCACCAGTGCTCCGCCCCCAGTACCGCTCCTCCCGGCCCCATTGGTCACCTTCACCAGTGCTCCGCCCCCAGTACCGCTCCCCCCGGCCCCATTGGCCGCCTTCACCAGTGCTCCGCCCTCGCCCCGGTACCATTATTGCTGAATAATGAGTTAACTCGTTTTGGTACTGTAAGAGACTTGATAACAAATTAGAAAAATAATCTCTGGTTTAGCGGGTATGCCATTTTAAAAATCCATATATAAAATCAGCACTACTTGTGTGAGAGTGCAGTATACTTTATTGTGTATCTTTGAAAATTTTCATACAATTGAGTTTTCACAGAAATGTACATTTGGAAATGACACTTTATGACAATCTGTTTCCAGCCCAATTAATCTACTGGACTGATATTCTACTGCTGATCCAGCCAATGGATCTAAACTGATCTTTTACAGCTGTTCATTCACAACATTACAAAGGTTAATTACAGATATATTTTATAATCTTAACAATTATTGATTAATCCCTTATTACCTCTATTAATAATTAGCCCACAATCAACATTACAAAGGTAACAGCTCAAGTGAGATGTTCTACCTCAAGAAACTACATGCACAGAAATGAAGGAGTTGGTCTTTTTTNACCTTTTACACAAAATGATATTTTTACCTTTTACACAAAATGTGTTACCAGTAAAACTGAACAATATCTGCCTCCAGGCATCTATAGCAACCACCAGCCAGTGGGGTCCTACAGAGTGAGGGGCAGGAACTGCAGTATCAGTCTGGGTTGTAAAGTCTTGTGAAGGTGCTGGGAAGGTGTTTGTCATGCTGCAAATCTAGACCGTACATCAGTTCCTTAACTGCTTTGATTATGGACAGAGCAGCTGGAGGAAGAATTGTGATTGGCTGTCCCAGAGGTTGGATTGGATGCCTGTTGTTGTCTCTGATGGGATATTGGGATGTTGGCTATAGCAGAACATATATAACAATGGGCAATAAACCTATGGTAACAATTAAACCAAATGAGAGGGAACCCTCATCTTTCCTATTGTCGAATAAGTATTGGTTTGTTAACCAAACTCACGCTTTAACCTGATCAGAATAATCTGTTACTTCGAAAGATGGTGTTGTTGGATGTCACACAGATCCAGGAAGTCAGACTTTTAGCGCTTAAGATAAGTAGGAGCCATGTTAATGAAGCACATTAATGTTAAGCCGAATTTCAAATATTCTTCCTATATTCTCCTCAAATACCTTTCTACACATCACACATGAAAATGACTGTAAGCTATCTGCAACTGATCATTTCAGATCTGTCCAATTTGGTTGAAGTAAGAATACCCTTTATTTGTCAATTTATTTTTCTTCTTCACAGATTTCTTTAGTTTTTGAAATTTAGAATTATTTGAGCAAATATTTTATTCCAGAACTTAATTACCTGTGTTACACATAAAGTGCCTATTGTTTCGGAGTTCATCAATTAAAGCTGTTTCTAAATGTTTGAGCTTGATTTTAAGATAAGCACAGGTGCCACCATAGAGAGATTCATGGCATTGGCCCCAGATTTCTTAGCTGTGGACCATACTTAGCAGACCGGACAATTATGATTAATCAGACAAGTTAAAACAAAATTACATTATTCCAAACTTTTTTTCCAAAATCAGATTTCTTGTGTTCCCCTCCTTTTCCCTTTCCGTAGATTATTTGTGGAGTACTCTTAAAAGCATAACAGCTATGAAGTGATGCATAACTAAATTAAGAATACAGTGAAGAATATTAGAGTAGATACACAAGAAACATAAAATTATGACTCTGTCTGATACAATCCTATGAACATGGAAAGATCAAAAATCCCATAAAGTAACTAAATTTTGTGATGCCGTTCTGCGATTTTAAAGCTTCCAAGTAGACTTTATCACCACAATTCAGTTGAATAATGCAACCGCCACTTAACATTTCATAAGTATCATGATATGACTGGAAAGATTTAACAATAATGTCATCATTTCGTTTTAATACAATATATGCATTGGTTGTGAACACTTCACAGATATACTTAAAGAAATACACGCCTGAAATGCGGGCTATGAACTGACCGGTATTCATATTGAAATCTCCTTGGTCATTGTAGATCACATTTTGAAATATAATTATTGAGTTAGTTGGTGGTTGGTTGTTGCAAAGATTTACACAGAAGGCAGATTGAGCTAAAGAACTAAGATCTGCTGGAGGTCCCATTGATCCAATAGGACCTGGAAGTCCTACTTCTCCTTTTGGTCCAGTGTTGCCCATTAATCCTGGAATCCCTGTTTGCCCAAAATCACCTGGGTCACCATCTTGACCTGGCATTCCATTCATACCCATATAACCTTTTGGTCCCATTGGTCCTGTGAAGCCTGGTAAACCTTTTGACCCAGGTACTCCATTCCAGCCATTGTCACCTTTTTGTCCTCTTAGACCAGGTGATCCTGTATTGCCTGATACTCCCCTGAACCCTTCATCACCGGGCTCACCAGGCATTCCTCTTGATCCTGGATCACCTTGCTCTCCTTTCGGTCCTTTTGGATATGTAAAAGCTGTGGGATGAAGATTTATGATTGTACACAAGGAGCATTACTTTTTCTGAACGGACTATTTTGCCAGTGAAACAGAGACAAATGGGTGAATTTCTGTCCATAAGAAAAGAGAGTTTTCCGCAGTGTCTCAAGTTCTCCCCTGCGCCACCCACCCCCACCCTCCCAAAAAATAAACACTTTGGTCATTCACTTCATGACTGTTCATGGGACATTATTGTGTCCAAATCGTTTGTCTCATCCACTCACAAAATATAGTCACTCTACTTTACAGTATATCCAATGAAGTGCTTTGAGATGTCTTACTGCTGTGAAAGGCGCTATACCAAACAGTTATTATTTTTGGATGCTATCTAAACAACTAGCAATGTCAAGTACCCCATATGTAAGACCATATGACACTCAACTGTAGCTTTTAGAATCTTGAATTCTACCTGTGCTTATATAAATGCACGTGAGATGTGACAGTTGGATTTTCTCACGTTTAAGCTCGTGAATTTTGTTTGCATCAGCTGACAATGAGGGATCTTGTGTGAATTAGGGCAGGAAGAGAAGTTCAATCAGAGCTGAGACCACCATTCAGGAAAAGAGGCTACTCTTCTTCCTGTCATCAAGACATACCAGCAACAGATTAGATATTCAGAGACAAACATACAGAGAAAGAAAAAGGCAGACAGACAGACACAGCCAGACATAGATAGAAAGAAATGGGCTGACAATATGTGTCAGGGGGGAAAGAGAAAATGGTTGGCATTGCGAAGGGATAAGAGAAAAGGGTTTGCAATGTGTTGGGGGAGAAGAAGAGAGAAGGTCTGGTGCTGTGTGAGGGGGAGGAGAAAGGACTGATAGTGATGGCTGTATAAAGCTCTTCGAGATGTCCTCCTGACAATAAAAAGTGCTATTTACAAATTGTATTATATTGTATTGGAATGATGCACTCTTCTTACCGAATTATTATTGTTAGATTATTAGTATCAGATTGGGGAAAGAGAATGCTTGGTTACTTCTGAAGTTCAACTAAAACTGCATAGCTTGTAGTTGAGAGTACTGTCTGGCAACTCGTTTACTGCTTGTCCACCTTGGGCCACCCTACCAGTTGGGGCGTTTGTTTGTAGAGCTAACAAGAGCCGGGTGGGAAGAATCCCAGATCCCAGTGATCAATCTAAGGCCTGCTGGGGAGCCAGGCTGGCTTGTCTGCCATCAGCAGTGCCCCACTATCTTACCAAGAAACAACAAAGGGTTAACTCAATTCTGATATTTTGTTGTCAGTCATGTTAATTTGGAGGGAGCCAGCTCAGCTCCTCGGAAAAGGGGGAAAGTCACCTAAAGATCTTAAATTTCTTAAATGTAAACCTATGGACTAATTCCAATGACATGCTCTGTGTTTAGCATTTTAAATATAGTAAACATATTAACATGACGCTGTTATGTTGTTACAAAGAAGTACTTACATTGGCAGACTGGTGGTTTGTCCCATTGACAATTTGGCAAACATATTATTTGGGCTGGACCAATCAGTATAAATCCAGAGTTACAGGTGAACTTCACTGCATATCCACGAACAAGAATAATACTGTGCCCATGTTTAACCAGAGGAGCAGGGCCACAATCTATCACTGGAAGATAAAACATATCCTTAACATCAAGTCAGAGACTGATACACAAAATTACAAATATTTGGATGTAGAAGGCCTTTTGACCACTTTTGATCTCTTCCTTCCAAAAATACCAAAACCCATTTCAGTATCAAGCTGTCAAATAAATAAGTTGTTTCCTGGCCTCAACCACCCTTCCTGGAGACCCATTCACTATCCTCTGTGTAAAGTTGAATGTCTGTCCTAGATGTTCTCTCAGAATCCTGAACATTTGCCCTGCTGTCTCCAATATCTAAGAATATTGTTTCATAATAATAATCAATGAATGAGTATCTTTCATTTGGTTTGAGCGATACATACTCATACAAATGTCTATCAGATGTAAATGTCTAATTATATTCTCAAGTAAGGATTATTATTCTATAAATAACTCTCTTTCCCTTTTCAATTCTATGAACTGGATTTTACTAAAAATGGATTTCAACTTACTGTGTGCTCGTTTCTGAAGACCACTGTTGAGGGGCTTGATTGCTTGTACTGCAGGTCTAGTGAAGCAAAGAAAGATGGAGATGAAATATAAAGTTAATGAATCTTCAGTTCAGAAGAACTCTTAAGGACAAAAATTTTGCACAATATGTTGTCAGGCTGGCTCAGTTTCTAGTGTTCTCGCCTCTTGAATCAGAAGACTGTGGATTCAAGCTCCAAATCAGGACTTGCAACTGAAATAGTCCAAGCTGTTACGTCAGCGCAGTGCTGGGGGTATGCTGCACTGTTGAAGATGCTGTGCTTCTGATGAAACATTAAACTGTGACCCCATCTACCTGTTCAGATGGACTATTTGAAGAGAAGGAAGTTTCTCCCAGTGTCCTGGCCAACAATTTCCCAAAATAAAATTGGTCATTCACTTCATGGCTGTTTGTGGAACATTGCTGTGTTCAAATTGGCTGCCATATTTGCTCACAAAACAAAGTCACTCCATCTTGCAGTGTGCCCTGTGAAGCACTTTGGGTATCCTCCTGACATGAAAAGCACTGTACCAAATGTGAGGATTGTGATACAGGTATTCATGATTTTCTCACATTACAGTAAATGGTATATGGCCACTGACCACTAGAAAATAATTCTGCAGAGGAGGTGGCCAAGACATGGTATCTGTGACAAAGATAACTGTTTTTCTAAAGTCTCTATTTTTATTAATCCCTCTTTCCCCACACTTCTTAATGTTTTTTGTTACTCAAATGTTTATCTAGTATCTTTTGAATGATTCTATTGATCGAACCACAATGACCACTTAAGTCTCAAACTTCTGAGTTGCCATTTTTTCTCTCTGATTCGTTTGACAGCAATTATGATGCCCTGCTGCCTTGCCATAGATTCCCCAGCTAAAGGAAATAGATTTTCCGTACTTATCTTGCTGTGCCTCTTCAGAATTCTAAACCTCACTGATAGTGGGGGGTAGGGGGGAACGGTCTCTCTTTATGTATATATTGTCTCATACTCAGGGTGTCAGCCTGGCTCAATTTGTAGCACTATCATCTCTGAGTTAGGTTGTGGGTTCAAGCCTCACAGAGATACTTTGAATTCATAGTCTAGGCTGATACTGCAACTCAGAACTTGGGGTACACTGCTTTGATGGAGATGCTGTCCTTCCAATGTCCTGTCTTCCTGTTCATGTGGACGTTAAAGATCCCATAGCACTATTTGAACACTCACTACCAAAGAAAGGGAGTGTATCCTGGGGTCTTGACCAGTATTCCCCCAGATAAAATTGGTCACTTCATGGCTGTTTGTGGGACATTGCTGTTCACAAATTTGTTGCCACGTCACCTAAAAATTCTTAATTAATCCCTTGCTCTCTCCCACAATAGAGGATCTCATCTAATATAGTTCCACCCAGATTCTCATACTGTTATTGTGAGTATTGTATCACTAATTACAGACAACATGTAAGAGAGCAGTCTTACTGCAATACCTACAATTGGTTGCTGCTCAGATACCCTCTCTCCATAAGATCAATGCTTTGCTGAATACCTATAAAGAAATAGGAAACGTGGTAAGTCAGTCACACATTGTAATGGCTAGTGAATAGTTCACTGGTTTGGAGAGGAAATTTTTGGCCATATTTGGATCTTTTTATTTAGGTTGTAATATTTTTTATCTAATGTGATTAAATTGTGTAATTTAGGATTGAATCTAGCATTGTAGCATTGTAATGCTTTTAAACTCTGATGATCACTCTGTTACAAGGTACTGAACCTCCTGTTCCTGGTTTTGAACTGCTTTGATTGCAAGGACTATATTACAGCGGAACAGTATATAGGTACATGCATAAAGTCAATTATTTTTTGGTAGAATTGATGTTTTCTGAAAGGCATTGAACTTTTTTGATCTCCCAGATGTAATTCTATAACATCTTAGGCTTCATGTAGGATTAGTCATGTCAACACTTGCATCAACTGAGCTAGTTTGCCTCTAAATGCTCTATTCTGTACAGTGCTACACACCTCTAGGTTATATTCCTCTAATGATTATACTGTTGGCACCTCACCACTTGAAAGACTTCTGTTTTCTGCAGAAATTCAAGATCACCTTAGCCCCGAGCTATGGTTTGTAAAGCACCAATAACACTTCCAACTTCCTCAGGGCCACCTTTTCTATCCCATTGTCATCAAAATTTTAATCAGGACTTGAGAATTTTAAACTCACATCAAACAAAAAAAATGCACCCCAGTTCTGTTATGCAGTTCTGTTCTCAAGTCTTTTCAGCCTTCGTTTGACTCATTGTTAACTAGTGCGTACATGTGTGCATTGTCTGTCTGGACTATCAATAACTCAGAGCCATGTAATATTTGTATAAATTGTCTACAGCAACAACAACAAAATTACATTTGTAAAGCGCCTTTCACATCAGGAAGATGATTCAAGGCGCTGGACAGGCAAAGTCTACATCTAACAATTAACCGTTAACATATTAATTTTCAGTGCTTCAAGCCACTACCCTGCATGAAGAGGCATATAAATGCAAGCTGTTATTGTAATTTACACAGGACTTATAGTGACGTAACCTTTGTTCTCAGACCATAAGGTACTTTCCATCTCTTCTCAGACTGAGTGTTCTCCCACACAATTGCAAATGTTCTATTTTTCTCTCACACACACTGCAAGTGTTCTTTCTCGTTCACACTGCAAATGTTTTCTCTCTTGTAAACTGTAAGTTTCTAAGAGTTAAGCACTACGTTTTCTCAGCATGTTTTTTCGTTTTGGAACTGTATGCGCTTTCTATATAAAAAGTACCTTGGAAGTAGTTATCAAATCCAAAATGGGCATTTGGTGAAAACTAAGGTAGAAATGCAAATGAAAAGAAACTGACAATCTGATTTAAAAGGAACCTTTGATTGCAGTTGGAAGTTGTTTGAGCAACATAGGTGACATTGGAATGCTCCAGAGAATGCTTCGCTTATGCAACAACCAAGAACGTGATTGATTAGAAACTTTAGACAATGGGAATGAAAACACTGTAGTGTAAGGTATGGACTGCTCTTGTACAGCAAATGGTTACATCAAGTTACATGTGCTGTTGATTTTATGTGTTCCAACCTCACAGAGCTTAATAGTATTGACAACATATGCATTGTTCAGTCTACATAACCTAATAGATTGTGTTTTTCATTGAGTTGTTAAGATAATTTTGAAAATGAAGATGAGAGTTTCTTTTGCTAGTGGAAATAAAGGAGATCCCTGATCATAAGATAGCTTATTGTACATAAGATCTGTGCTCATTGTACATAAGATAGCTTATTGAAAGCTTATTGTACAAGTGCATATAATACTAATTACAATTTTGAACAGATGTAAGTGAATTCTGGAAGCTACCAATTTCTATTGTATTCATTTTTGTATTTATATGAAACACCATTACGTGTAATATTGATTCCTTGGAAAGGTTTTTGGAAAGGAAAACTACCACTAGAATTAATTATTGTAGCTCGGTACTTTTGCAGAATATGACCAGATAAATACATCCTAGAAATATTAATCGTGTTTCATGACAGCATTCTTCAAAAGGTTTAACAGAGAAAAAAATTCTAAATAGGCAAAGGGTCTTCTTTGGGATATTCTGGATTTGGCACCTTTTTTTATTTCCAGTAATATCTTTCAAAATATTTTTATACACATAATAAAAATAATAAGACAATTAGTTAAATATAAAAATGTGTTTCGGTAGTTCTTTTGTACTAACAGTTTTGAATTACTTCCTTGGTCTGAAAGAAACTAATGAGAATTGAATCAACTGTTGAGACCCTGAATCCTTGCTGAGCCCAAGAGTCTGATTTAAGTATATACGTTAAAAACATGGAATGATGAGGTTACACTTACACTAAGCTGTTATTAGCACTGAGCCTTTGCTACACTCCAAGACTATGTCTAAATGGGAGAGCTCTGGGGATTCCTGCTCAGTCTCTTACCTGCTGAAACTCCATCAGTCGGAGCCTGGAAAAAGCCAGCGAGGATCACACCCAGGAGCCACACAGGTGTCATTTCTGAAAGAAACACATTCATTCATGAGTCAGATGCCAAGCTGACAATTTAGAGACGGGCTCACAGTTACTGGGGGATTCAGCTATGGTCCGAGAGTGGAAAGGAATTAACGATAGGGAGACTGAAAATTAAATGCAGACTTCAATAATACAGAGATGGTTATAACTTTCCTTAAACTATTGAGATACCCTAATTCCTGAAAGTATAGCTGGTGCATCAAAATGTCCATCAGAGGTCTTGTGTCCTAATGGTAAAATTAATCCCAGTCCTGATAGTAAATTGCCTGCTGTAGATGTCCCATCCCAACTATCAACCTAATGAGTGTATATTTGAGGAGTGTGGCTTCTCAGTGTGTGTCCACACAGCCCCCACGCCAACACTGGGAGGCAGATTGTCACTCACCTCAAGACTCTCAGATTCTCTCTGAATATGTTTCAGAAGTTCAGCCTTTTAAACAACATGACGTGGCTCCTCCCCTTTGCTCCCTGGGGTGTCAGGCTGCTCAGTGTACAATGCAGGTCACGCTGCAGAATCAATCACCTTGAAACTAATGTCTAATTAATTTTAAAGTTGCACTACTTTTATAATTAAAGCTGGTGCATTGTATGGTTAAAGGTAGTTTCCCGTATTTCTGATTCAGCAAAGACTCATAGCTATATTTCAAATATATTTTCATGGTTTGGAAGAATTCATTGTATGACTTTACCAATTTTATTTTTGTTGGCAAGGACACTGGGGTAAACTCCCTTCTCTTTTCGAGTAGTGCCATAGGATCTTTAAGGTCCAACTGAACTGACACACGGCAGCTCTATTTAACATCTCATCGGAAGGACGACACCACCAACAATGCAACCCCACACCCCACACCTCAACACTGCTTTGGAGTGTCAACATTTTCCTATGTGATTCCAAGTCCCGATGTGGGGCTTGAATCCACAACCATCTGACTCAGAGGCAAGCGTGCTACACTGAACCAGACTGACACACCATGAGATGTGTCAACGACATGATAAGGCGCTATATCAAATGCAAGGATTATTATTATCTGCAGGTTGAGGCTGGTACAGTGTATCAGGGATTAGCATGCTCCTGATGAATGTCCTGTCAAATTTCTTATTCCATTCTAAATCAATTAGTGTTTCGCAATCAAGTAATGTACAGTGTTATCCCTACTTGCATTATTCTGATTATATTTGAGCCTTCTTATAGTCATTCACACATCACCAACCATTTTTTTTCCTTTTTAGAACTATAGAAGTGAGTGGGAAGCATCTGAAGTAGACATTAGTGTTTCTGGCATCTTGCCCACAAATACCTTTAACCTCTAGAGGAATATTATGTATTAGCAGTGTCATGTTACAGTCATCTTAGTTTGTCCTGTGCCTCTCAATCCATTGGATGAATTGATCCTTAATATGATGGTTCACTCATTCAGCCTTTCAATTGCTTATCATTGCTTGGATTTCTAAATATATTAAATGTCTTTTCGATGTGAAGGCCACTACGCAAGTGTAATTTGTTGTTGTAAATTGGATTTCATGAAGAGATTTATTGGCAAATTATTGGATGGATTTAAAATAAGTTATGCTGACTGGAGTTATTTCAGGGAGTATGTGAACAGATTGGATGAGGACAATAATTTATTTGGGTTTTAAGAAGTAAAAGTGTATCAAGAAACTAAGAAAAATTAAAGTTTGTGGAGTTCATGGTAAAGAGGCAGCAGAAAGCTATATTTTGGGAGAATAAGACCTGACATCCATCTGTACTTTCCTGTGAAATAAGCATCATTGATGGTTAATAGATAATCTCACAATTGATGAAAAGCATGTGACTGGATTATTGGAAATAAAAGGATAATTCTGAATCAAGCTAACAATTGGATGCTAGTTTCCATAGTTTGGCCAATTCTCCGCTTGTTGAAGATTATTCTTAATATGCAATAGTATATTTACTTTTGTGGGAAGCAAACACTGGGTGGAGTCTTAGACATGTTTGCATCAGGATTTAGTTGCAGTGATCTTATTTGAAGCAACGTATGGATAATACCCAGAGTCAAGCGAGGACATATTCCTGGCCACTTTCTATCACAGAGAGAACAAACCAGGTCACCATCCTTCATAGAGGGAATAACCCCACAGCTATTGGTTTTTTTTACAGAGGGAACACACTCTAGTAAAGCAAAGGCCAAGGCTGGACTAACCACATTTGATATAATCATATTGACGCTGCAAAAATATGGCATGTGTCTCAATCCAGACATAACTATTCAAACAGTGAAAAAATGCATAGGATCAATTTGGCTGTGACTAGTTTGATGCCTATATTGAACACACAATGTGTGTGGCATGGAGGGAACTGGCATTGTTCCAAAAGGCTCTGCATGGCCAATAAATTGAGTTCCATCTGGTTATCGTGCCCCAAATCAGACAGAGATGTGGCAGATTAGATTATTTTCCTGAAACATTATGGAGAATTTCCAGGGTGAGACCTGCTGGGTTCCCTTGGTCTCTATTCAGGGAACAGCCTGTGACTTGGAGGGACATTAGGTGCTTCATCGGGCATTTTTGTGCTGTACGCATTGTATTTTTCATGGTTATCAAATCTTGAATCATAGTTTTAATGGTTTCAATTACACAGTGTCTGTGATGTGACATTCCAATTTACCAAAAAATCCATGTGAGCCAACATAATTATTTATGTTGCTGAGAACTAAGATTAAAGTAGATTTGAGATGGTTACTCTGGTCTGAAGTAAAATTATTTGTTCTGTCAGGTGTGGTTCTGCTCTGTTGTTTCATGTGATACACATCGCCAAAATATTAACCAGGTTCAAACAAGACTGAATTAATGTTTTATTTATACTTAAAATGATGCAATTGTACATCGTCTCATTGAATTTATAACTTATTTTTGGTCATCAAGTGTCAGACACACACTGCAATCAAACACCATGGTTCATATTGTAAACCAAACTGAAAGTTCAACATATGCATGGCTTCCTTTTGTCTGGTGTAGAGAATTTATATCCATTGTGATCAACATTACAATAAAACAAAACTGAAATGACACTTGAATTTAGTTAATTTCAGTTCATGTTCTCCATGAGGACTAATTACACCCATCCTTTAGATTCATGGAATTATAGTTTATGAAGGAGAATGATATCCAGCCTATCAAGCCTAAAACGGTGACTAGCTTCTTCATTGGAGCTAATTATTATTCCCTTGCTCTTTTCATTGTGTCTTGTTTAACTTTTTTTAACCAAACTATCTTCTTGGGGGGAGGTAAGCAGGGTCTCTTTGAGGGTAAGTTGGTTCCAAGATCACGTGCCTTCAAAGGAAGATCAGAATGAAATTAATCCTCAGTTACAGCCTCCCAGTTGGTTCTTGAGCCAGGTAGGTCCACAGTTCTCTAAGATAGTTGATGACAGAGCAGCCAGCTACCAGAGTAGCATTAAGGGAAACGATTGTTTCTATTTGCAAGCCAAAGCCCTAATGGTGGTGCTCGCTGTACAGCAGTGGGAAGCTCATCAGATAGTATTTGCAATGTAAACTGTTATTTTAACTGGTTAGACTTCAGCAGTACTCCAATATATATTTGGGGGTTCAAAAGCCTTGTCTCTTATGAAATTGCACCTATACTCTGGAATAAGGTAAGAATGGTGTGTCTCACACAGGAGAGAGTGCTTACCCCATCCAAGACAAATGGAAATTTCCATGCATATGTAGAACTCTTAGTAGTTTGGTTTGGATACACTTAAGTATGGTGAATAGTTTCCGCATGTTAGGCACCCAGATCAAAAAAAGCCGAACTAAACTTATGCAGCTCCCCCTTATGATGGATTTAAAATCCTAACTAATATTCAAAAGCATTTTGCAAACATCACCTAATTTTGCATCTTACCCTGATACATAATGAACAATATATGAGTTGGGGGGGGGGGTGGGGGTATGTATTTTTAGGCAAGTTAACTCCTTGTTACAAGTGATAAGGTGCAGATTGGAGTGGGAATGGTTCGTGAGCATTACATTAATATGTGGAGTTTAATCAGTTTTTCAATTCCTGCATCAGATGCAACTCTGCTTTTGCATACGGCAGTATACAATCTACCAAGACTGGTTCACTCACCTTTCTTAACTGGTTAGAATGGGCATTTCTTCCTCAATAGGTTTATTGTGTAAAATGCACACTAGATGGTTATCATGTCCTCAATTAGAGAGTTCCAGTACTTTGGACTTCAATATACCTGTGACATTGGCCAGGTTTTATTTCAGTAAGAAATTCACATGAGCTAATCCACAAACTCTTCCTTGTATAGCCAACAGGATACAACCACACCATAATAATGTCTAATTTATTGGTGTTCTCTCACAGAGTCAGGAGATTGGGGCAATTGTGTTCTGTCCTTCAATCTTACAGCTAAATCATTCATTTACCTCACAGCTGTTTTGGATATGCTACATGCAAAAGAGCTGCCATGTTTACCAAAAAAAAACAGCTTGCATTTATATAGCACCCCTCAAGCAGGGTAGCAGTGCAGAGCGCTACAAAATCAGTCACAACACTTGACAATAATTACTCTAAGTGTTTTGAGTTGTTTCAGCATAATTAGGCACTCTACCAATGAGTTTTTTCTTGAAATGCAAGTTGATCCATTAACGTGGAAGTGGCCACATCTGAAAATTGATATAGCCACATGTGACTAGGGACACTTTTTGGACAATGCTGCCTTAGTGTTTCACCATCTCCCAGGTATGTGACACACTGCAGTCACAGTTGCCATTATTTTGACTCCCCACGCTCGTTCCGCCCAACTGCCAGCTCCTGCCGCTACCATGAGAGGACGTTCGATTGGGAGGGGAGGGCGCAGGTGGCCCAAAGTTGGAAATGGTCTCGGGCTGGATGAAAACATCCCCCGGGCCAGCTGTTGGACCTATAGTAAAATCTGTGAAGCTCTTTGAGATATTTTGACAATGTGATAAGGCACTACATCAAATGCAAGGTTTATTATTGTAGTTGTTTATCTTTTCCTTTGTGTGAACCAGTTTCTGGCCCTTTCGTCATCTTTCTTATAATTTTGGCAACATGTCAGTAACTAAAAAAAAATGAGTTCTGTGTAAGCAAAAAATGACTTCAAGTAGCTGGGTCCTGCCTCAGCCCTCAGCCACATGAAACATTGCTTATTTCAGTTGGCCCATGTTTTGCTTCTCAGTTAATTGTAGCATTTGAACTGTATTTACAGGAACTCAGTCACCAGATAAGATCACAGTTGCACAGGCAAAATCTCTTAGCCCACACTCTAGATGGTGCTGCACAATTGGAAGCAGCTCTGTAATATCTTTGGCTACTAGTGACGTGTGATTCACCCTGTTTATGCTGCAGGTGCATTCTGCAGCACTGATCGCAGCATAGAAACACGTGCATGTGAACAGTTATCTGAACATGACATTTGAGTCTCTACAATCTCTAGGTTTGGTCTGTACAAACTAATGGTTAGAAAGCACTGCAGTGGCCACATTGGTGGATGGGACAGTCCGCAGGTAGGGCCACCTGAGATACAGTAATAATAATAATAATCCTTGAATTTGCTATTGCGCCTTTCATGTCAGGAGGACATCCTAAAACTCTTCACAAGATTTTACTGTGAACTGGAGTGACTTTGTATTTGTAGGTGAACATGGCAGCCCAATTGCACACAGGATACCAGGAGAAACTCCCCTTTTTTCGAGCAGTGCCAAAGATTCTTTAACATTCACTGGACCAGGCACACAAGACCTCGGTTTAATATTTCATCGGAGGGTGGTACCTCCAGCAATGCAATACCTCCCTGGCACTAGATTGGAGTGTCAGCTTATCTGAGTTCAAGCCTAGATGTGGCGCTTAAACCTACAACCTTCTTGATTCAGGTGAGAATGCTACAAAACGGAGCCAGACTGATACACTGGATAAATGTTGCAAGAGTTAATGGTGGTCAATGGTTCTTTTAAGCTGTTTCAGTTGTGCTGAGATATTCCAGGAGACATCTTCATCTCTGATTACAATGTCCAACAATGATATAAAATGATACAACAACAACAAATTACATTTGTATAGTGCCTTTCACATGAGGCGGATATAGCCAATCAAACAACAACAACAACAACAAGATTCCATTTATAGAGCGCCTTTCACGTCGGGAGGACATCCCAAGGCGCTGTACAGTTTGGTCAGGACCCGAGCAGGGGGACATGGTCAGGGTGAGGGGAGGGAAGGGAGGGAGCGAGGATGGGGTAGAGAGTCGAGAGGGGAGCTGAAGGCAAAGCCTGGCATATGAGGTAGGGGGCCTCTGACAGAGCAGGTCTTGGACACTTACCAAGCAAGCCACTAGGTCACGGCTTCCCATGGCTGCTACAGATTTATTGACCCTGCCTGGGGACCAACATTTTATTGTCTCAGAGTGTCAAGTGTTTCCTTCTGTATTCACACTCTCAACTGCAACTTCTTATGCAGCATCCTGTATCATCAAATTCCTCCCACCCATGCTAATCTCCCACACAATAGCGCCGAATATGGGAAATTAAAGAACATTACATACAAGTTTCATAAGGGCAGTAAATTTTATTAGACATAGGAGAACAGGAGAGGAGCCATACCAAAGAAGGCCTTCACATCATCTCACTGGATAGGGTTGTCTACTTGGTGACACTGTTTTTATCTTTAACCTTCAATCTCTCTGTCTTTCCCTTTATCTATCCATGTGTCTCTTTTTTCTGTGTGTCTCACACACTCGATTACTTTTTCTTTGTCTCTTCATTATAAACTTTTTCTTCAGGTGGAAATTGTGCTCATTGGGAATACAGAAATGGAAATAATATCCCAGTATCTCAGGATGTAAAATGGTTGTCCAGCAGAGAACACTCACGTTATACTAATAATCCTTCCATTTCGTACAGCATCTTTCGTGTCGCGAAGATGTCCCAAACCGGTTCACAGGATCTACTTGAGAATGGTGTGGTTGAATATGTTTTGTGGATGAACAAGACAGCCAAGTCCCGCACAGCAATATCCTACGAGTGACTGATTAATTTTATTGGGGAATGATAGCCAGGACACTGTGGAAAAAGTACCTTCTTTTTTCAAATTTTGTCAATTGATCTTTAATGGTATGAACAAGCAGATGGGACTTTTAATGTCTCCCCAGTATCCTGGGCACAAATATATAGTTCCAAAGAGAAAGCCCAGCATCACCTCCTCAGGACAAGTGTGGACAGACAATAATTGCTGGCCTTGCCAATATTGTCTGCAGTCTTGGTACAAATAAAACAAATTGGGCTACATAATGTATTGCTTGATGTATATTTCCCCACATGAACCAGTCTAAATCTCTCTGTGAGCAAATTATTTGACCAAGGACAGAAATGTTATTGGATATAGATGGTTTCTCTCCTTGTGGACAGGACATACATACCCTCCATAAACCTCTTGAATGGTTAAAGTACAAAGTCAAATAACAGTCGAGATCTGTTGGTAGCACAATCTCATGGTTTATCTGGGTTTTCATCAGCACATACGCTTAAGAGTGAATGAATAGGCTAGTGATAAATAACAGCAAGTGGTGGGAAGCAGTCTTTTCTAAATAGGCCCTGCTATCATTTTAATCTGTAAGTTCTACCAAACATTCTGGCTTGTGACTAAACAGTAGGGTTTGTGTTCAAAGTATGAGGGTAAATTGAACCTTTATAAGTAATTCTCAATCAAAATATGCATATAATGAAGTTACTGGTAAAAGTGTAAATCTGCCCAGTCATTGCCTAGTGGAGTTAACAGTTGACCAGTTATTGTGTTGAGGGATTCCCTGGAACTAGACATAGCTTTCTCTGCACTGAATTGCTCCAGCTAGATTAACCTTTGCAAGTTTAACTGAACACATTGAAGATTTTCTCAGTTGGAAATCAATTGATTTGCCTCATAATGCAGACCATAACTACTGAAAATAGCTTAAAGAAACATTTTGGCTCCTTGCTAGTTATGATTACTTTAGTTTACACTAAGGATGCTATACCAATGCAAGTTGTTGTATCTGATGACGTGTGAATTCCATTAGAAGGCAGCACTACCCGTGTGAGGTGGCAGTATACTTTATTGTGTATCTTTGAAAATTTTAATACAATTGAGTTTTCACAGAAACATACATTTAGAAATTACAGTTTATGTCACAATTAATCTGTTTCCAGCCCAATTAATCTACTGGACTGATATTCTACTGCTGATCCAGCCAATGGATTCTAAACTGATTCTTTACAATTATTCATTCATAACATTATGGAAGTGAATTGTTAATTATCTATGTCTAATTATTGATCAATACTGTCATACCTATTAATAATTAGTCCCAAAATCAATATTTCATAGGTGACAACTCAAGTGAGATGTTATGCATCAGAAAACTACATGCACAGAAATGAAGGAGTTGGTCTTTGTTGATATTTTTATCTTTTACACAAAATGTGTTACCAGTAAAACTGAGCAATATCTGCCTCCAGGCATCTATAGCAACCACCAGCCAGTGGGGTCCTACAGAGTGAGGGGCAGGAACTGCAGTATCAGTCTGGGTTGTAAAGTCTTGTGAAGGTGCTGGGAAGGTGTTTGTCATGCTGCAAATCTAGACCGTACATCAGTTCCTTAACTGCTTTGATTATGGACAGAGCAGCTGGAGGAAGAATTGTGATTGGCTGTCCCAGAGGTTGGATTGGATGCCTGTTGTTGTCTCTGATGGGATATTGGGATGTTGGCTATAGCAGAACATATATAACAATGGGCAATAAACCTATGGTAACAATTAAACCAAATGAGAGGGAACCCTCATCTTTCCTATTGTCGAATAAGTATTGGTTTGTTAACCAAACTCACGCTTTAACCTGATCAGAATAATCTGTTACTTTGAAAGATGGTTGGATGTTACATGAAAGTAGGAAGGCTGACCTTTAGAGCTTATAATGAACAGCCACTGCAATAATGAAGAGCATTAATAGCTTCAGTTGTCTCGTCTTCTGCTATATATATTTCCCACAATTACAAATGATTATTTCAGCATATGTAAGTTCTAACCCAACTGTGTTACATTATAGAGACTTGTCAAATCTCTTCAATGTCACAGCAGACCTTGTTAATTATTTTTTGAGTAATTGAGTAAAATAAAGTACCTGAAAAACATACAGAAATTCAAGCGTGATTATTCAGTCCTCCAATAAAACATGTTTGCGTTTTACTTTTCCAAATTCTTATGGCTACCTATTAAAACTAAGTGTTTGATGAGAATATTAAAAATAAACCTCAATGAACAATTCAATAATGAATATAGATGATAGTTAAGATCATTATTGGAATTAGATACACAAGAAATATGAATTTGTCTTATATAATGTTTACATTATTATTTACTGCAATGCTTTAGGTATCCCATGAAATAACTTCCAATTGCTAACCCATTGTTTGACTGTTGAGTTTCCAGCCATACTTTATCACCAACACACAACCTAAGTATTGCTCCTCCAGATAAAATTTCATAAAATGAGTAATAGGACTGATATGTGCTAATGACAACTTTACCATTTAGTACTAATACAACTAGTGCATTTTTTGTATACACCTCACAGAAATATTCAAAGGCATACACCCCAGCAATGCTGGCAGTGAAAATGCCTGTGACAGGATCATAATCTCCTTGACCGTTGTAGAGAACTTCGTTGAATAGAATTGGGGTGTTACAGTTTGGACTGGCGCTGGTAAGTTTGACACAGAAAGCAGATCTCACTGGTAAAATAATATTTCCTGGAGGTCCCATTTGTCCTATGTAGCCGGTCTCTCCTTGGGCTCCTCTTAGTCCATTGTCACCTTTTGAACCAGGTATTCCTGGAATGCCATTGTCACCTTTGGAACCTTTATCACCATTTTCCCCAAATAGACCTGGATTACCTTGTGGTCCAGGTAGTCCAGTGTCCCCAGGAATACCTGTTTGACCATTTGGTCCAGGGAACCCAATTTCACCTTTTGATCCTTTAAATCCATGAGGACCATTTTCACCTTGAGGACCTATTGGCCCACTGTTGCCTTTATCACCGGGGGGTCCTATTGGTCCATGCTCACCTTTATCACCTGGGGGTCCCGGTTTGAATTTAGGTTGTGCTGAAAAATATTTTGAGCATTTTAGCTATACAGATATCAGGTATTGGTATCGTATGATAAGGCAACTCATTGCCTTCAGGTGACATTGAGTGAAAAACTTCTCTGCTGACTGTAAAGTTATTCAATGCAATGCAGTCAGACCAGTCTCAACCCATTTGCTAATGGTGTGTTTCCATGTTACAATAAACTGTCCTGAATTCCCAAGTGACTGGCGAATCTGGGGAGACTCAAATCAATGATGATTGAACAGTTCTTTATGTTTTCAGTTCATCCACTATGACGCTGACCACAAAAAACAATAAATACAGTAATAAAGTGGTATCACTGCCATTATTAAGCCTAAATTACTCAGATTAATAGTAAAAACTAAAGTTTATCCCAATATCTTCTCTAATTGGGACCAGTTCTGTTGGAGGTATATTGTCAACACTAGTATCAGAAGGTGCCATGCTGTTATCTGCCTTTTTCTCTACATTTCTTTTTCTTTCTAAGTCTCTCGCTCTCTCTCTATCTCCAATTCTATATTTTCCTGGTTCTAACCCTGTACTGTATCTATATCAGATCATCAAAGAAATGAACTGCATCTTGTGATGCTGTTGAAACTAAACTGGGAAAATAATGCACCACTGGTTAAGATGCATGCACATATAATCATTTTACTTCTGGGATCCATGCTGTGACTAAGCTGTCAAACAGTTATCCTGTTTAGATATGTGTAAGTAATAATCCTGTGTCAGTTACATGGTGGTGGGTTGACCTCATACAATGTTTTGTAGGTTACAATTTTAAGTCGTTTGACGATCTGGAGGTTTGTAACCCGTTTCTGAGGTTGATCCCTTGGTTTTGAATTCAGAGGCTATCATAGAAATACATGTGATACCACGGCTCAGAGCCTATACTTACAAGGAAAGAGTAGAGAAACTGGGAATCTGTACTGCACATTGAGCTGAATAACTTACTTAATATATTATGATTCTAAGTTCTATTTATCTACTTTCAGGTAGCAATAATCAGATGTTATCTTGTGATGTTGTAGAGAATTCAAAATGCCTCGAATTAATATTGTCTATCATAAGAACACCCTAGGGTCCTTTTGAATTAGATAACAATAAAACAGTTAGAAAGAGATCAAAGCTAACTAAGAGGCTATGTCGAGTGCTGTAACATTTGAGATTCATATGCTGTGTCTGAAGCAGACATGAAACATAATGAATGCTGTTAGGATCCTTGGTTTTATGTCCAGAGGAATAAAGTACAAGCAGGGAAGTAATATGATGATGGGACTGTGGAACTCACTGCCATAGCTGTGGTTGAGGCAAAAAAAGAATAATGTATTTAAGAGGAAAATCAATGCATACATGAGAGAAAGGAATAGATGGGGGACATAGGAGAAGGGTTTTCAGCACCTTGGAATGTCCTCCCGACATGAAAGGCGCTCTATAACTGTAATTTTGTTGTTGTTGTTTCAGGAGTTGATGGAGTATAACCAGGGTTAGGGTTAGGGTTAACAAACCAATTGGGCCAAATAGCCTGTTTCTATACTGTATCATTCTATGTAATTATTTGTGAAACTTTGCTATGATATGTTACAATAATGTTACTGCAGTCTTGAGTGTATATGGAATTCTTGAGCTCTGACACTTACACATAATCCTTCTTACCTTGACACATTGGTAGTTCATGATCCCAATTTCCATTCTGACAGTATATTATGTTTGGTCCTATCAATGTGTATCCAGAATCACAAGTATACCTCACTGATGTTCTTAGAAGTTTAAATTTTGCATAGCGAACATGAGGAATAGGGCCACAGTTTGGAACTGGAAAATAAAAATATAATATCCCGAGTCAGTGTAACAATCAGATGTTATCTTATGATGTTGTAGAGAATAACTCGCTGATACTCAGTGACTGGAAGATCACATTCACAAAAGTGAGTGGGAGTTCTGATTGCATTGTGGTTAAGGGTCTTTGTGGATTGGAATATCACAAAATATTCCAACAAATTTCACTGAAGTAATGGAAGCGTTGCAAATCACGTGAGAGATCGTCAGTAATCGTTCATTGTCAGTGAGCTGTTATACGAGTTGGCACCATTTTAGAGTTCTCGAATTCGGTCAAGGGGTATTTGTGATGCCATAATAACTCATTAGGGCAGAGGATCTGCATTGAGAGATCATCTTGGTCTCCTTTAGCAATCAGGTCAAGATATAAATTAACACAGGCTCAGCAACAGCTTGTCTGTGCATTCTCTCTATGTTCAGGAATGGTGAATAGGTGGTAAAGCAAAGGAAGAGATAAACCAAGAAATTATATTAAAAAAATGAACAAAATAAATATATTTAGACAAGTACTTAGCTAAGAACAATAGAAAGATTTTGCAAAAGGCCCCAATGTGACTTGAACCCACAACCTTCTGTCTCAGCAACTTGACTGCTATGAACCTCAGATGGGTGTCAACCTGGCTCAGTTCATAGCATTCAAGTCGCTGAGACAGAAGGTTGTGGGTTCAAGCCACATTGGGGCTTTCGATTCGTTGACACTCTAATACAGTGGGAGAGCACTGCATTGTTGGAGTTGCTGTTGTTCATATGAGACCTTAAACCAAGGCCTCGTCAGGTGGACATTAAGGTTCTTATGACATTATTCGAAAAAGAGAAGAGAATTTCTCCTGGTGTTCTGACACACAATTCCGCAGATAAAAGTGATCATTCAATTTAATGGCTGTTTATGGGACATTGCTGTGCACAAAGTTTGTTGCAGTGTTTCCCTAAAGAACGCAGTCACTACATTTTATAGTGGAGTTCTTTAAAGCATTTTAAGGTGATTTCCTGGCGTGAAAGGCACTAAATCAAATGCATGTTATTATTATATAGGCACAGCAAGCTTAACAATCCACAGGGGATCATTTCTATAATCTAATAGCTTGGTATTTCTGTCTTTTTCCATAAAGCAACCTTAATAATAATCATAATAATTATCCTTGTATTTGGTATAGTATCTTTCATGTCAGGATAAGATCTCAAAGCACTTCACTGGATTATTGTGAAGTGTAGTAACTGTATATTTGCAGCCCATTTGTGCAGCGCAATGTCCCACAAACAACCATGAAGTAAATGTCTAATTTCAGCTGGAGGATTGTTGGTAAGGACACCAGTTAAAATGTCCTTCTCTTTTTGAGTAGTGCCTTTAACATCCACCTGAACCTGAAATAGGAAGTTTTCACATGTTTGCTGAGTTCATAACAAGGGGGCATAATGTAGAGATCCACAGATCTAAAAAAGAATTTACGAAGAACTTCACACAGAAGATGATGAGAATGTAGAATTCGCTGCAAGAAAGTGTGGTTGAACCAGAAAACATCAGTGCATTTGGAGAAAACTTGATTCATGCAGGATATAAAAGACAGAAAAGGGAATCAAGGAGATTAGGATGACTTGTGTAGAATATAAACACTGACACGGAGTGGCAGTACCAACCGAATGGCCTGTTTTGGTGCCAGAAAGACTATGTAATTCTATGTGATGTATGAAATGTGTAAATATATATATTATATATACATAAAATGAGAAGCACCTCTACTTTCATATGTCAGCAAATTGAAAAAGCATGTTACTTTGGGTATTTTGAGGACAAAGAACACATTACGATCTTTGTTTAAGAAGGTCAGACATTTAGTATTCGAACAGTTATAAGCCTGGCCTCCTCTACATTGCCCTCTGCCCTTTTCAATTCTCTTATTATAGTTAAAATGTTTCTCAACTCACAGTAGTTTCGTTTTGCAATAACTTCGGCATCCAAATTATTGAAGCTTCTGTAGATGAAATAAAATAAGTAATAGATCTTCAGTTTATAAAGAACTCTTAAAGACAAAGTTGCTGAAAATCTTTTGATGATTGAACAATTCCTAATTTAAAAACTGTTGCTACATTGTTGGAATAATTCAGGAGTTGCTGCCGTTGCACCCCATAAACTTCCAGTTGAGAACTGCTCATCGGAAATTGTCACTCTCAGTTCTGATATACTGATAACTCAGGATTTATATGTCAGCTCCCCTTAGTTGATAGAACTCTTGTCACTGAGTCAGAAATTGAACTCACATCATCGAGGCTGAAAGGGGTGCTGCATTTTTGGTGTTGCCAACCTACAGTTGAGACATTAAACTGAGGTCCTGTTTGCCTGTTCAGGTGTGGATTAAAGGTCCCATGGCACTATTTGAAAAGAGAAGGGAATTTATCCTAGTGTGCTGGCTAATAATCCCCCAGGTAAAACTGGTCATTTACTTCATGGCTGTCTTTGGAACATTGCTGTGCGATTGGCACATTCATTACCCTTTACAGCAAATCCTGTTAAGCATTTGAAATGGCCTCCTGATGTGAAAGGCACTATATCAAATGCAATGAATATTATTTGTAAGGTGCAGGAAAGGGCAGTCATTTTTTGTTTATAACAAAATCACTGGGTCATCCTCCCACCATGGAAGGCACTATATAAATGTAATTTGTTGTTGTGTATCATACAGAAAGCCTCCTATTTGTGCCTCTTTTCCTACCAATTCTTACTCATGATATAGTATGGTATCATAGATGGGAAACTCGCACAGTCCTGCTTGTTTCCATGCTGTAATGTTTTGTTTGTATGATTTTTAAGCAAGCTTAACAGGTTCAGTTCAACTTTCAATGTAATGTGAATAGGAAGTATCCAATCATGCAACAGAAAGGCTTCAGGCTATTACTGGGAATGCTGTTCCTGGGCAGATGAGAAGTTTTTAAGCAGGATATAAGTAGGTTCAATTCTGGGAATAGCCCCTCTATATTGCTCAAGTATTCTAGCATGCTTTAAAACATGTGAATATGTGCCAAACACAATCCTTCAATAGAGTCAAGCTCAGATCTAATCTTCTCAAATATATATAATCAAAAGATGTCACACAACCATGTGTAAGATTACATGTACCATTTTGTCGCCTACATGTGTTCTGTGGACTCTGTACTCAGGCTGTATAGTGATTTGGTCAGGCCACACCTGTAATACTGCTCCGTTCTGGTCACTGTATCAAAAAGGAGGGTGCCCAGCCCACGAAGCAGAGCAGAGGTAACGATAATGATCCTCAAAGTTGGAGGAAGGAGCTTTAAGCAAACTTGGATATGCTCGGGTTTTTCAGTCTCTTAATAGAAGACGACTCAAAGGGGACCTTATGGAGGGATATTTTAAATGGGATTGAAAAGTGAATTCAGAGTCATACTTTAGGATGTACCAAAATAAGAGTACACAGATTTAAAGTTGGAAAGGGCAATTTCAGAACAAATACCAGGAATCTTTCTTTACCCAGAGGTTAATTAATGATTGGAACAGATGCCAGGTTGAGTTGTTGATGCCAGGACACTAGACTGGTTTTAAAAAAGCAGCTTGACACTGTGATGGGAGAATGGAAGGGTGGATATTCTGAAGGGATAATATCAGCTGGGCCAAAGAGCCTTCTTTGTCTAAACTAATCTAGTAAAGATCCCATGGCACTATTCAAAAAGTGAAGGGTTTTTCACGTGGTATGCTGGCTAACAATCCCACATCTTTGTCATTCATTTTATGGCTTTTTGTGGGACGCTGCTGTAGTTAAATTGGATGCAGCATTTGCCTACAAATACATAGTCATTAAACTTTACAGAAATTCCCTGTGAAGCATTTCGCCCTTTTAAGATCTATATCGTATGTAAGGATTATTGTATCATTTACCTTAAGGTAATGTCTGCCAAAGGATTATCTAGGAAAAGAAACAGAAGAATATCAGTCACCACACTGTTCTTTGACTTGCTAATGAGTTTGATCAGGAGGTTTATTCTTTGTTCTCCAGGTAGCCAATCTATTGCATTTTATCAATTTATAATTTTTATACCTTATTCTATTCCATTACTGAATATACAAGTGGAATCTGGATCAAAGTCCAACGTATCATTTTTCTGCACTGCAAGCTCATAGCTGCTGCTCTACACTGTGTGTGTGAGACGGCAGTGTTTCAGGGCTGCTCTATGGTCTGTTTGGTATTGAATTTTATTGATGCTATTTACAACATTGTTTTAAATACACCAAGCTTTGTGCACAGTCCACTGCCAGCAGAATATGGCATATATCGCTTGGTCTATGCACATGACTGAGGTCAGGCAATGAAAAGTGTTGTGATAGTTTCTGCATCAATCTATAAACAGAGGTCAGTGTTGCCGAGAGTTGCATAACTGCTCCAGTGGCTGCGAGCTAATGTCTAAGAAGTCATCTCACAGGGAAATGTTTGGAGGTTCTATTTAAAAACTTGGCATATTAAAGACAGAGAATGTCTCCAGTGCTGGGAGTCCTGGCTGTTGTGTGATTTGTGTGTAATTCCTTATTGGCTCAGGTACAGCAAGTTGGGACTGGGCAGTCACTCGAATAACAGCCAGCCCCATTCTGCTGAAACATATTTACTTAAATTTGAGCTCTCACGACATCACTGACGAAGGCTGAGCTTTGTTTCAAGCGCCTAACTGACCTTGTGTAACACTGCGGCTGTGAGCAAAAGACAAGGCTGACAAGCCAAAGCTTTCTTCACTTCTACTGAATATTTAGCACAGAAAATATGAGAAACAGTCAGCAGGTTAGCAAAGCTGCACCTGTAGACCTGTATGAGGTTCCAAAGGGCTCACACATTTTAATTTTCTGAATCGGGGAGATTTAGTCCATTATTCTCTGCCAGATACTCTTCAAATGAAATCAACAACACCACTAACTGATGCAGACAATTCTGAATTAATTAAATATGAAAAACATGTATCAGTACAACTTCTGTGCAAACAGTTTGGAGTTATTCGCCAGAAATGTATGAGAATAATCTGCTGAGATGTCTTTTCTAATACTGAATCCTTTTGGATATGCATAGTCTGGTTCATGAAGATACATGAAAAACATTAAGCTGTTATTAGCACTGAGCCTTTGCTACACTCCAAGACTATGTCTAAATGGGAGAGCTCTGGGGATTCCTGCTCAGTCTCTTACCTGCTGAAACTCCATCAGTCGGAGCCTGGAAAAAGCCAGCGAGGATCACACCCAGGAGCCACACAGGTGTCATTTCTGAAAGAAACACATTCATTCATGAGTCAGATGCCAAGCTGACAATTTAGAGACGGGCTCACAGTTACTGGGGATTCAGCTATGGTCCGAGAGTGGAAAGGAATTAACGATAGGGAGACTGAAAATTAAATGCAGACTTCAATAATACAGAGATGGTTGTAACTTTCCTTAAACTATTGAGATACCCTAATTCCTGAAAGTATAGCTGGTGCATCAAAATGTCCATCAGAGGTCTTGTGTCCTAATGGTAAAATTAATCCCAGTCCTGATAGTAAATTGCCTGCTGTAGATGTCCCATCCCAACTATCAACCTAATGAGTATATATTTGAGGAGTGTGGCTTCTCAGTGTGTGTCCACACAGCCCCCACGCCAACACTGGGAGGCAGATTGTCACTCACCTCAAGACTCTCAGATTCTCTCTGAATATGTTTCAGAAGTTCAGCCTTTTAAACAACATGACGTGGCTCCTCCCCTTTGCTCCCTGGGGTGTCAGGCTGCTCAGTGTACAATGCAGGTCACGCTGCAGAATCAATCAATTTTGAACTATTGTTTACTTTAAGACTAGCCCCAGTGTAACAGTTACAGACACATTCCCAAACTTCTGATTGGTTACCAAATCGTGATTTCTTGGGGCTCAAAATTCTGTCAGCTGCTGTCTGGGTGTTGGTTCTCTAATTTTAATTTACTAGAAATGTCAACAGTAACAGCAACAAATTACATTTGTATAGCACCTTTCACGTCAGGAGGATGCCCTAAGGCGCTGAACAGTCAGGGATCTGTACCAGTGGAAGTTACAATATCTAAGTGATACTCTCTGGTGGAAGCAAAATCTGATGGACAGAAACCACTTTCAGAATTACCCTATTTCAACAAGAAAAATAAGACAACAATTGATCACTGCATGTGGTGGCCATATTTAAATAACACTTTCAATGTGAAATGGAAGCACAAACAGCATAGAGAGCGAGCAGCCGAGTGTTGGGAGGCTGGAAAAGGAGGTTGAGCTCCAGGGGCCAATTGACACTGGTGTGTTGCACCATGACCCTTGGAGGTTTTTGGGGGGCGCCATTGGCAACCTAGTGCAACACGAGTGAAGGAGGATAAGTGGATGGAATTATTGGATATGGATGGTTTCTTCTCCGAGGAAGATGGTGCACAATGCTGGGCTTGAGGTCGAGGTGAATTTGACAATGGTCATGTTGGTGAAGGAGGTAACAGCTCCTGGTCATCCTCCAAGGCTACTAAAAGTATTGCTCATCCAGGAGCTAAGGTAGACAATTATCATTACAATTATCATTTGGATGGAAATGGTTGATTTCAGTTACTTTAGTTACTAAAATTACCATAAATAGGCTACTTGCCTTTGTCATCTGTCTTTCAAACCTCCTCATCGGCTGTTATCGGTGAGGCATGCCAGCAGCAGCAGCCATTTAGTCGTTAGCTTGACAAGGATGTTAGTGACCTCATCCCCTAGGAGGAGGAGAATTATTATGTGATGACAACAACAATGCATATGAGAAGGAGAGAGGATGAAAAGAAATGTAAGGGAACAAGGCTGTTGATACCTTTTTCCTTCTAAAAGCTCAAGTGGTCAACTGCCCCTGTGCTAGATCTGTATAAAATTCTAGGTGGATAAAAGCCACTGATAGAATACATGGAAGAGGAGCAGACAAAATCAAAGGGTGACAGACAGACATATATTCCAATGTTTTGGAGATATACTTAATATGTCAACTTTTCTACAAAAATGCCAACGCAGATCAAAGTCCTAAAATCCCCAAGTTACAGTTATTTTTAGATGAGTGAGAATTTGATGAACATGCATGCCAATCAATGACATGAGGCACACATTTAGATCCCTTATTTTCAGTTCAGTAGCTATTAAGCATTCAAAGATGGGTTAATAATAAATATTAATAATAATCCTTGCATTTGATTCAGTGCCTCATCACATCTTCGAGATGTCTCAAAGCACTTCACAGAACATACTGTAAAGTGTAGTGACTGTATATTTTGTGGGCCAAATGCGGCAGCCAATTGTGTACAATAGCGTCCCACAAACAGTCGTGGATTGAGTGACCAAATTATTATTCTTTTTTAAAATTCTTTTTATGAAGGGATTATCACTTCGGAAAAGGGATCCGCAACCGACTGACAGCCGGGTTCCTACTTACCACTATGTAAACAACAACTTGCACTTCTATCACACCCTCCATGCAGGGTAGCATCTCAGAGCACTTTAACAGTGGCAGAGCCTGACTCCGAGCCATGGGGGGGTGGGGGAGGTGGCCATAAGCATGGTCGAAGATAAAGGTTGTCACTCAGGTCTTGAAAAAGGGGTGAGAGTGAGCTAGGCGAAGGGATTAAGGCAGAGTGTTCCAAGGTATTAGGGCATAGTGGCTGAAAGCACACCCTCCGATGGTAGGGCGGAGGGTGCGAGGGATGAGCAGGAGCCGGTGCCAGTGGAGTGGAGGCTCTTGGTGGTGCATTGGGGAGTGAGGAGGTTGGAGAGGTAGGGAGGGAGGTGCCAGGGAGTGAATGGATTTCAACACGAGAGTGAGGATCTTGAAGTTGATTCGTTCAGTAATGGGGAGCCAGTGGAGCCTGGGCCAGAACTGGTGAGATGTGGGTATGGAGTTTACAGACATGAGTATGCGGGTGACAGAGTTCTGAATGAGACGTGGAATAAGGAAACTTGCCTAAGGTTTCACCCTGCCCAGGAATTGAACCCAGGTCTTCAAGGCGAGTGCTCTAACCACTGAGCTATGCGACTCCCCAAAAGTTGCTGGAAGTAATCTCTACACCAAACTGAGGATTGTGATAGAATCTAAATACAACAATCAAAGTTTCAAAGAGGACCATGAACTTTACTGCAAGATCGCATGGAGTAAAGTAATGATCTGCTAGTACCTTCTCCAGGTTAAGATAACTAATTCCACGAGCTTAACTGATACAGTGATGGACGTGTAACCAAAGTATGATGTATCTCTCAATTAGACCTAACAATTCAAACACCTAGCAAATGTATCTGATCCACATGTAAGAACTCGATTAGGCTGTGCCTAGTTTGGTGCCAATTTTCAACACCACATTTTCTGGCATGGAAAGGATTGACTTTGCTCCAACAGGCACCACATGGCATAATACATTGGGTTCCATCTGGTTATGCTCCCATTCCGATAGATAGGTGGATTAGATTTTAATTTTCCTGAGACATGGAGAATTTCCAGAGCGAGACTAGTTCTCTTGGTCGGTATTCAAGGTACAGCCTGTGACTTGGAGGGACATTAGGTGCTTTTGCGGCCACTTCTGTGTACAGTGGATTGAGATCCAACCAGATATCTGATCTTCAATCATATAAAACATGAAATGTAATTCATTATTTATTAAAATACTCAAAAGTGTTTGTTTAGTTTAATACAAAATCTCTACACATTGCTTGACACCCAATGGGATAGAAGTAGGAAAACAAATGTAATCAATGTTTGCCCTCTGTACACTTCACGATTCTATGTACTTTATAATAACCTTGTTTCAGTTTTGAAGTGCCTCCTCCTTCCCCATCGCGCCTGAAGATCTTCCTCTTCGACCATGCCTACGGTCACTTCCCCCTGCCTCGGAATCATGCTCTGCCATTATCAAGCACTCTGGGACTCTATATAAAATGTTATTGTTGTTGAAGTGTGCACAAAATAAATGAAATCATAAGCAAGAGACCTGGGTTCAATTCCCAGCAGGGTGAAACCTTGGGCAAGTTTCCTTACTCCACATGCCTGATAATAATCCCTCAAGAAAAAAAACAATAACAATTTGGTCACTCAATCCACGACTATTTGTTGGACACTGCTGTGCGCAATTGGCTGCCGTGTTTCGCCCACAAATATACAGTCAATTCTCTTTACAGTATATTCTATGAAGTGTTTTGAGACGTCTTGAAGAAAATCGCTATATCAAATGCAAGGATTATTATCATCATTATTAATGTATACAAAATGTGAATTTTGTGACTGTTAACATTTAGAATGATCAGGAATACAGAAGATTACAATTATACACTACCATGGAACCAAGTACCTTTAACAATGCTTCTTCAAGCAAGTATTCTTCTAAGAAGTTTCTTTTTTGAAAATGTTCTTCATCTCCAATTCAATAGGCACTTAATTCTCTCTTTCTTTCCTGAGGCCTTGTTGAGGAAGAAGTGTAAAGTTTGACATTGAGTGTTGGCATTCTATTCAACAATGGGGGTCAATACTGGTGATGTTATGCTCACTCAACATCAACCAACCTTGCACATTCTGGTTTAGTAATGAATAGTAATTAGTGTGAATAGTGTGAACCCTGGCTAATTTTGCTCTCTTTAACTCAGACATGCTGAGATTAATTGTAGCTCCGATTGATGCTCTGGCTCAGATCTCGATATGAATCCAGGACCATCTGTATGACTAAGCCTAAATACACTTTTAAATGTACTGCAGTTTGGAAAAAAAACTATTATTAATATATTTATTTCTTTGGATGAACATCTCAGTGCTTCAGAGATAATCTGGAGTATTGAATTTGGAAGAGAATTTAGGGCAGTTAGAGTGTCTACCAACTGAACCAATATATTACAAACAATACAGATTTACATTTATACACCAGCTTACCCTTCAAGAGGATGTTTCAGGGTGCTTGGCACCTGAGCTGAGTGTGGGAGCCAAGGAAGCTGGGAAGGGGAAAGATGGCCAAAAGTCAAAGAGGTAGGTCTTGAGATGGACTTTGAACAAGGTGAGAGAGGGTGTGAGTTGTAGGGATAGAGTTCCGGTGAATTGGGGCAATATTTCTTTAAGAAAGATTCCTTGTTCTCATTTTAAGCTGCAGTAAACCCAATGATCTGGTGCAGTAGCACCTCTTTTTTAAACATAATCGCTAAAATTATTTTAATGCATTTGTCAATTTTTTTCTTTTAATTTTCCTTGTTGCCTCCTCCTTTCCTGAGTGAATAACTATGGATTTGGCAGCCCTCCAGTACATTGCCAAGTGCCTATTTGTTACAGATGGCTGTTCATGCCATATTGTCAGTTGTGTAGATGAGCTTGGTCCTGTTCTTAACAGTGTCCACATTTGCAGGAGATATTACTGCCTTACTTATCTTCTTAAGCTGTATGGCTCAGTGCCACATCCTATAAAACTATGGCATGGACCCTGGATATATTTTTAAATGCATTTTCACCTAATAAGGGTTCAGACCTGTGCTTGGCAGATATCAATTGACCAAGTAGTTACTTTCCATTTCATTCTAACACACAGGAATTTCCATGTGTAGGTGGGATGTGTGGAACTCTGTTTGATTTGAATACTCTTAAGCATGGTAATGAATTTCCACGTATGTCAGATATCCAGTTGAGCAAATAAAAAGTTTGAGAATTTTTTATTGAAG